TAAATGACAAAATGATTTTCTTTTTGATTTAAATGTATCTACATTTTGTATTTAATTTCGGTAGATACATTTATTCATTCAACCACATAATTTAGTACGGATGTGAATGAAGCGTTAAGGGCCATGATACCCGTTTCTTGTTCCATGTTTTCTACGAAATTAATGTAGATTTTAATTAATGTAGTCATGTAACAACCGTGCGAATATGGAATCGGTGGGTGCAGGAAGGAACTACTGAGGGATACTCGCAATTGCATCTGGCTCGTTGCATCACTCCACGGCATATTATGCTCGTGGCAGTGATACAGCGTATTGCCAGATATGCAACCATACCACAATGAATGCAGTCTGTAATACTACAATCGGTGTCCTCATGAACAATTCGACGTCGTTAACAGTACAATGGATTGCCCCCGCTGGGAGTCCATTGTTTTGCTTACCTTTAAACCACAGGCGTTTGCGTTTGCAATGATGCGCTGAACGGCGAAGCTGGACATCCGAATGGCGTGAGGTAATGCTTTAGGACGAATCACGCATCTGCTTGCTAGAATTTGGCGACACCTTGGACAGTGGCTGCTCGACTGCTGTGTTATCTATCGTTATCCTGCTCATACACTCAGTATTATGGTGTGAGTTGGTATTGCATTATCGGTGCATTTACCAACCAACTCTTTATCCTTGAAGCTTTGCAGGCTGTTCTCCTTTCTTACCTTCAGGGCTTGCATGCGGTCACATTTCAACAGGTCAATGCGCCATCACACGTTACACGCAGTATTCAAGATTTCTGCTTAACCCACCATACTGCATTGTTACTCTGTTTGTCCGTTCTCCAGATCTATCACCCATCCAACATGTCTGGTAAACGAATGGAGAACGCCTAGCCCAGCATTCCATACCCGCGGATACACCACATGAACTTTGGCTACGTGTGGAGGCAGCATGGCATTGGTATCACATGTCCTTATTCGTGTTGCGTTTTGTATGGCTAGCAGTTTACTATCACTTGGCGAGTTTTATTTTCTTTGAATGCTATATATTAGTTTGCGAAATTGATCAAGCCATGGGATAGGATATAACTTAAATCTGCAAACTGTAAATAACTAAATTTTCTTTTGATCCCTGAGATGCGTATAATGTGATCATCAGTTTAATTCTGTGCTTCGAGTTGAAGAACATAATAATTTTTATGCTGTAGTCATTTAGTTTCATCTTATTGTTAGTTCAAGCCGGAATGAAATTTTTCTGACAGGTTTCGAAGTTACCTTAGTTTTAATTTATGCTAAAATGACTTTAGCTTTTGAAATCGTATTATAAGGTATTTCTCCCGCCTTCCTAGCGTGCCTTCGTGGTGTAGTGGTTCCGCACGCTGGGCCGGTATTCCAAAGGTCTGTGGTTCGATTCCCGGCGAAGGTGATTGCTCATTTTTCATCTTTCTTGCCTCCAAAAAAATACCTAACGTCTCTACAATATGTTTCTTCTTCCTTAACTTGTAACAAATATTTCAATGAGAAAAGGCATTACAAGGAATTATTAATTTCAGTGCAGGATTATAGATTTTTATGCATAGTATTTGAATAGCTAGAAAGATAAATGGTATAATAATTCTACATGGAAGTAAATCCAAGTGGAATTTTCTCTGGAAATACTGGCAAAGCGCTTAACATTCGGAATACTTTGCATAAGTATATTTTAATAGTTTTATTAAACGATTAGTAGTTTTATTAAACGATTTTAATAAATTTCATCGATTACAGAGGCTATTTACACATTCTGTAGATGATTTTCTTTGTACAGCTTTCCAAAGTCCAAGCAGACTTGTGATCCGCTTTTGAAAAGTCCAAATGCGCAAAAATCCACCACATAATTTAGTAAGGATGTGAATGAAGTGTTATGGCCATGATACCCGTTTCTTGTTCCACATTTCCTAGGAAATTCATGGTGGATTTTAATGTATGGCTGCTTACTTAGCCTTGATGCAATTCTACTGATTAATGGTACTGTGGGTAAATAGAAGATACTTCATATTTGAAAACTGGGTACAAAATATGTTCTTGATAATTTAAGGAGTTTATAAGGTATTTATTTCTCCCGCCTTCCTAGCATGCCTTCGGGGTGTGGTGGTCTGCACAATGGGCGCGTATTCCAGAGATCCGTGGTTCGATTCCCGGCGAAAGCGTTGCTCATTTTTCATCTTGCCTGTGCCCAAAAAGAAACCTAATGTCTCTACAGTGGCACCCGAACTAAAAGGGTAATGGAGATTATTCTCCACACCCAGGATTTGGCAATTGGGTCTCCTAAAAACCCAAGAAGCCCTTTAAAAGGAGGGAGTATACAAGGTATTTCTTCTCGTGTTCTTAGCATGCCTTCGTGGTGTAGTGGTCTCCATGCTGGGCGCGTATTCCAGAGGTCTGTGGTTCGATTCCCGGCGAAGGCGTTGCTCATTTTTAAATCTCTCTTGCTACCAAAAAATTCCTAATGACTCTACAGTGGCGCCCGAACTAAAAAAGGGTGGTGGATGATGATACTCCACTTTTAGGATTTGGCAATTGGGTGCCCTAAAAACCCCAGTTGCCCTTTAAAAGGGGGAGACTATATAAGGTATTTCTTCCGCCTTCCTAGCGTGCCTTCGCGGTGTGGTGGCCTGCACACGGGGCGCATGTTCCAGAGGTTCGCGGTTCGATTCTTGGCGAAGCCGTTGCTCAGTTTTCATCTTGTCTGCTTCCAAAATTACCTAATGTCTCTACAAGTTGTTCTTAAGATTTTTCTTCGCTGGCTTTATTTTCAGTTTTCCGTTATATGAAAACCCAGGAACAATCATAAATCCCTATAAAAACTTTTTTTAGATTCTCTGAACCACGTTTTAAGATTTTTTTAAACCTTTGATGAATGGATCTCTTTTTATTGCGGTCATTTAAATACACCCAAGCTTCAACTATTGTAAAAAAAAATTTTTTTTTTCATTTTTGTCCGGATAAATGTTTTTCATAAAGCACTCTACAGCGCGTTCTGCTTCGGGCGACGTATTGTCGTGGAGAAAGACGATGCAGATTACGTTTTTTTCCACTTTTTAGCGATTGAAATCAGCATTCATCACTTTCTTTCCCTTCGACACTGAACATTTTAACTATTTTGCAACTGTCCTTTGACTTTTCTTTAAACATTAAGGATCTTAAACTTGAAACATTCGAAACATTCAGTTTTGTTTCTGACTTTTTTTCCTTGTTGACAGCGTTACCAATCGTAACTTTACATATTGAGAAACAATGCCTTTTAGAACTTCTAAAGGGCATTAAAATAAGTATCTGGCTTTAATAGCCAGATACTTATAATTTTCTTCGGAAAGAGTACAAACATATCCATTGCTTATTTAAAGTGTTATTTTGCACGAAACTATCAAGTAACAAACGGTAATTCATACCTTCAAGAGTATAGTTGAAATTAAAAAATTCAAGAAGGTTTTTCGAAGTATTGTGATCGCGAAAAGTTTCAGGCAGCATATTTCAAAGAAAATATCCATTTTGACCGCTATCGAATGCAATTTAACGATGTTTTTGCGTGATATTTGTACGTAAGGACAGAATAAAATACTCCTTTCCTCCAAAAAATTATAAAACTGCTTTAAAATGAATTTTGAAGAGAATGTTTCGTGGCATCCGTACGAACGTATGTACGTACGTATCTCGCATAACTCAAAAACAAGTAGCCTCAGAACGTTGAAATTTTGTATATAGGTCTGCTATAACATGTAGATGTGCACCTCATATTTTAGTTGCAATCGGCCGCACCAAACATACATAAATATATATATATATATATATATCTACTCTGTTACCCGGCTCAGTGATCTCAGTTTCTTTACTCTTATATGTTTGTAAATTGTACATTTTTTGCTTTAAAAATGATTGAATTATGTTGTTCTTATCTTCTGGTAAGGTTTTTATGCCTTTAGTAAATCTGTATGGAATAGTTTTAGAATTATCAACAATTTTAAAGTTGTTTAAGTGCGGCTAAGCCTAATTATGTTTGCGATGGCGGGCATGTTTATTTACATTTCAAACTTGGCAAAATAGGAGATTTGTTGCCAGTGTAGAGAAACTAAGCTTCGCAACAACAAAGACAACGCCTTCTTCTATTATTCCGAATTAAATCATGCTTAATCCATTCTGGAATATTTTCGAGGAAATAAGAAGATTTACTTCGTAATTTTTAATTTAAATATTTTGAGTTTTTATGTATTTTTGCCTTGTTGGGAAGTGAGAACTGAATTAATTGAATGAAAAATACTGAATCGTCTGTGAAAATCTGTTTCTTTTTTGTTTGCTTAATTTCTTTTATACATCGTTTTAGATTTATTATAGTATTTGAATAGAACATGTGGCAACTATTAGATAATTCTGTTCTTTAAATGATATAAATTTTGTGCATTATGAGTTATAATATGAACGAAATATAACGCTCGTAAATAGTTTATCGTAAATACCACCAGAGTCTCGCTGTGGTAAATAAATATAATGAATTTTAAAGAGTGCATTAATTCTATTGTGGTTTATGTGCTATCGACGAAGTAGATTTAATTCAATCCAATAAGTTTAAATGAAATGCAAGAAAAAATGCATATAATTTAATATTCCGTACAAGGTAGTCATGTGGTGTACACATCAGATTTTTTTATAACAATGCAAAATCAAAAAAGTGTACAAATAGTCTCTGTATTTTCAAAATATGACGCGTCTTTTTCCTCAGTTACATTTAGATATTTTCAAAATGCTGTTTTATGTATAAAAAAATAATACTTTTTACAATACAAAAATATAACAAAAAAACCAACAAAAATAAATTTTTATGCAGAATTATATATTTATTCAAAACATATATTATGCGGAAAATTACTTACTTTATTTTGCGTCTTTCATTTAAAAAATAATTTATATTTTCTCAGAAGAAGATGCTATTTATTATATTTTACATCTGTTTCTTTTTTTTTCTAAAATTTATTTAAGGAAGGTTTGCAGTTCAAAGAACAAGTGTTGGCGATTTATTACCTCGAAGCAACGATCCCCAAAATGATCAGTGCAGCTTTCCAGATGAAAATCAAATTTGTTTTCGATCCGGTGAGTTTTTCAATTTACTTTAAAGCTTACTTTCAATTTACTTTACTTAAAAGCTTTCTATAGTGTTACGAAATATTTATTTTGAATAACTGTAATACTTTATGTTGCTTGTAGTTATTTGTCATAGTCTAGTTTAGCAATACTATGTTACACCTATTATCTTCATTAACCTTTCAAATGCACTTATATATCATCTTCCGAATGCCACTAGCTAAGCTTTAACTAATTCAGAAGTCAAACAACAAAAATCAGCGTTATTTAACTTTACAACCTGTAAAGATCCGCTCCAAACGATTCAAGTTCAGTAGTTTGATTCACAGAAAGAAATGATTAGGCATCTTATCGCTCATAATGTGAAATTCAATAATAAACCTTTGAAACCAAATCTAACTGCGAGAGAAAGAGCTACAATGCGCGAAATTCATTCTAACCCGGATATTATCATTTCAAAGGCCGACAAAGGTGGCCAGATAGTCGTCATGGATAAGAACACTTACATCGATGGTGTCACTAAACTCTTAAACGAAGGACCATATAATCCGATCCCTAAAGATCCTTCACCTTCGGACTTATCCAAAATAAAAACTGCGATCAAATCTTCGCAAATCATTTCAAGCATTTCAAGCAACTTAAAACATTCGCTTATCCCATCTGTTGCGAATTGTGCCAGATTATATGCTCTTCCCAAAATTCATAAAAGTGGTATTCCTTTCCGCCCTATTGTATCAAATTTAGGTACTGCCTCGTATCCATTAGCTAAATATTTAGTTTCTAGATTTTCCACTCTATTAGACAATAACATTTACACCATAAAAAATTCAATAGAGTTTGTAAAAAAGGTTAAAAACATTTCTCCTAGTAATTTACTCATGGTTTCTTTTGATGTAAAATCATTATTCACCAATGTCCCAGTGGAGGGTGCATTAAGATGTCTAGAAACCAGACTTCGCGAATTTCATTTCTCTTGCATCGAAATTGATGAGCTAATTTCTCTCACTCAACTCTGTTTGAAACAAACACATTTTGTTTTCCAAAATAAATATTACAAGCAAACTGAGGGATTAGCCATGGGAAGCCCCCTCAGTCCCATCCTGGCTGATATCTACATGCATTATTATGAATCAAAATTGTTTGAAACTTTAAACTTCCCGGCATGGTTCCGCTACGTAGACGATACTTTTACCCTGTTTGAAGGTAATAAAGATGATTTAAATAGAGTTCTTTCAACAATGAATTCTATTGATCCTGCTATTCAGTTCACTTTTGAACTTGAGACTTGCAATTCTCTTCCGTTTCTCGACATTCTGGTCACACGTAACACATCCAACTTCAGTACTACAGTTTACCGTAAACCTTCATCGGTTTGCCTTCCACCACACTTTAAATCATGTCATCCGACTAAACAAAAGTTAGCTTCATTTTATTCCTATGTTTTCCGTGCTCTTCAAGTTTGCTCCTCCAAACTAGCCCTTGATGAAGAACTAAATTATTTAAAAGCAATAGCTATTGACAGGGGCTTTTCACCCAACATTATTAATCAAGCAGTTAAAAAATTCTCATCTCAACACACTAAAAGCCACACTCTTATTTTAGGAGATTATAAAAATTCTGTTGTCATTCCCTTCTTTCCATCAATTAGCTATAAAGTTGCACATATTTTGCAGAAATTTAACTTTCGGGTTGTTTATTCTCCCATCAATAAAATTCCAACTTCTATACTCAAGGACCCCATTCCGGATATGAATTCCTGGGGTATTTATAGGATTCCTTGCCAGTGTGGTTTAATTTACATTGGCCAAACTAAGAGAGCCTTAAAATTTCGCGTCAAAGAACATGAGGCATATGTTAGAAAAAAGGAAACACAGAAGTCTTCTGTTGCTCAACATTGTTGGTCCGAAAATCACACTTTCAATTTTTCTGCTGCCAAAATTATTCAAAAAACATCTTCCATTGGAGAACTGGATTTTCTAGAGGCATTTCACATTCATAAAAATCTTTCTGTTCTAGTTAACGATCCTAATTCCAATCCAAATTTGCCTTCGGCTTTTAGAGAAATTATGTTTTAGTTCTGGTTTCGCCAACAGATGGCGCCACTTGCTTATTCTTGTCCAGGCTTTCTTATCTTATCTAATCATTATTTCCTATCTTGTTCATTTGCGGTTTTGCAGCTGAGGATGGTGGTTCGGCAAAACCATCGAAACTAGTCCTGTGAAAATTTTGTAAATATAACGCTGAATTTTGTTGCTTGACTTTTGAATTAGTATTTGTTTGGCGTGTTATTGTGTCTTAATTAAGCTTTAACTGTCTATGATCAGAAAAGAATAAACGTATCTACCGAAGTTCAAAATAAATTTGTAATTCTTCGATTTTGGAGCGCAAGCTTTGATTGCAAGGACAACTAAACTATGTAAAAGAACAAAAATGCTATCTTTGTGATCACCAGGATACAGAAACTTGAAATCTACCAAAACGTTTCTGAAAATTGCAGATAAACTTTAGAGCAGTTTTGAAGCTGTAAAATTTTGCCATTTACAAAGCTGTAAAATCTTATCATTTTTTCAAAACATAATATTGTTACGAAATGTAGAGGCGCGGTAAGATGGCTTCCCGGAAAGCAGTTTTAAGGTTGCCATAAAATAGGAAGGAAGGCAGAGTTCCCACATTTGGCGACATTTGGCGACAAAATTGGCGATATGCCATGGTCAAATGGAGAATCTTCTGGAATGAATTGTTACCGGTTTAGCCCAGAATGTTCTCGAACACAAGCCGAAAGCTATATAAACCCTTCTAGTCCGCAGTCAGTGAGTGTGAGAGTGCCTCATCGAGAAGACGAGTCAGTGTGTGCCTCGTCTAGCGAGCTGCTAGTCAGTTATTAAGCGAGTGTCTCGAAATCTAGCGCCGAGTTGGTCGTCGAGTGCATCGAGAGAGTCTTTTAGTTTATCACGAACTAGGGCATCGCCGAGTTTTGTCTTAGACTGTGCTGAGTCGAGAGCTATACTTTTGTGTAACGTCGGGTGCGTCGCGAGTTGTAGCGTGGAGAGTCTCGAGAGTACATGAAGTTCCGAGAACGACCAAGCAGAATCGGGAGCTGTACTCTGGTGCTTTGCAGTGATGCTGTGTCCACCGCTATTGCCTGACAGTGTGAAGGCTGTGTTGCTGAACGTGTCAGCGTGTTTATAACAGTTCGACGACTGTAAAAGTGATTTTGGAGCTATCTGATTAATATTGGTAAATAAAGTGTGCTTCGATACTTCATCAAGTGTCGTCGTTATTCACTCTAAATCTACGAACCCCGTACGATTGTGAAGAAAGAAAATAACGTAACAACTGGTGTCGGAAAAAAAACACAACAATATGTTTTCTAATATATTTTTCTTTTACTATTAATTTTGTTCTTCGTAGTCTGGAGCTATTTAATATACAACTGTTCAGAAGAGTCACAAAATCAAGTCAGATATAAATAGCAATAAATATTTTTATTGAATACATCTGATATAAAATGTGAATTCTTAAAATGTCAAGACTGTTAAACAAAAGGAATTGTAGGACTACATTTAGTATTTATTTTGTTTCCCTTGAGCACATGTAATAGATTGCACAAAGTATCATAGCTACAAATACAGATTTTGGTTGGCTATATGTGGGATGTCTTTCCATGCAGAATGAATGCATGGTACTTACATATTACCGCAACTCCCTTAGTTTCGTCACCAACGTTTCAGAATACGCCAAACTGAGTTAATAATTATTCTAGCAAACATACGCATGAAAAATAGTGAATAGAACAGAAGAACTAGAGGTGAAATTTCTATGGAAATATTTTATTTTTCTAATTATTACTTTATTTTTTTTAATTGCTAAATGAATAATGGTTCGAATCTTTTCTGAAAGCAACCACTACGAAATTTTCACTACAACAAAAATGAGAACTCGTTTGTAACTAGGTTTACTGTCTGTTTGAAGTAAATATATTGTTGGAAAGTAAAATATTTATGCAAGTAATATACAATTTTTTTACAATAAAAGTAATTGCTGATTTTCTTCCATAAAATTCTCCAGACTGCACCAAGTTGGTTTCGATAAAGTACAGAATGCTTATCAACAGCCTATCATTTAGAATTGCGTATGTTGCTATATGTTTCAGCCTTTTAGTAATCATATCCCAGACGTGTTCTATGAGAAATATGGCGACCATGTAGGCCAAGGAAAATTTGATATTTTAATGGTCACTACACAAACGTTGAATAAAGCACACAACTTAGCAATGGCATTACCCTATTATCATTTTTCAGTGTAGCCCCAGGATAATTCTATAAAATGCTAAAGCTTCTGTGCTATAGTAATCTCTGCACTTGTGAAATGAAATTCTCTAAAACTCAAAAGATGTGCGACAGAAAAATTTTCAGGTGGCAATTTAATTTACCTATTTCTCTGATCTTTATCTACATCAGTTTCGTTTTAATCAGATCTCGTATCTCACTGACTATTTATTTTATTTAACTCGTGGAATTTTTATAGTAATTCATTTTACCTATATCTCAAAATTTTTATGCAATTTTTATTTAAACTTTTGTTCGGGATTTATGAAAAAATATAGTTTTTCCGTATAGTCAATGTATATAATGTAATTACGTTTTCGCTTACATTAATATTTACAATTATTTTTAGCTTTAATAGTATTTTTAGATGTGCACAGCATGTTAAATTATCCTGTACTGGAATTTATTCGACTTTTTAATACCGCAGGAGATTCAAGAGTTAACCAGCATACCACTTTGACGTCATTGCACACTGTATTTATGCGTGAACACAACAGGATTGCTGACCAGCTAAGAATTATAAATCCGCAGTGGGACGGTGAAAGGATTTTCCAAGAAGCTAGGTTTGTTTCAAATGTGTATTCTTCTGTATATATACTCTTTTGCAAAAAACATTGAAGCTCAAGAAGGACTTTTGCGATCGTGACGAAATTTGGTATGCAAAAACGTCTTGATCGAACATGCAAATGATCAAAGTTTCAAGGCAAATGAACAGGAATTGCGATCATAGCGCGCATTTCTAGCGAGCAGTTTGTAAAGTATAAAACCAGTAACAGAAGCGAAAAATTTATTCCTTTTTTTTTTTTTTTTTTTTTTTTTTTGTTCCTGCCATTGTAATTCCGTAAAGAAGCAACTAAAGATGCCATTACGACGATATCGAAGACCTCACAGACAACTAAACGACCTCGACGTGGTCGCATTGTAGGTTTGCGTGAAAGTGGGTTTTCATACCGAGCAATAGGCCGCTACATGCAGCGTACAGTCATTGCCGTGCAAAGATGTTGGCAGCAATGGTTGCTACAAGGAAATTGCCGACGAAATGAAGGCTCTGGAAGGCCAAGGAGCACAAGTGCGCGGCAAGATAGGATGACTGTTCCCCAGACCCGAACTTCCCCAACGATATCATTGACAACTATTAAACGTACAACAGCCACGCCTCCCGTGGTACCGTCCACCATCTCATAGCGCTTGTCTGAGGCCCGGTTACGCTCACAGAGGCCTTTAAGATGTTTCCTTTTGACCCCTCAACATCGGCGGAGTCGTCTGGAGTGGTGTCGCAGCCGATCATCATGGCTGCCATCAGACTGGCATCGTATAGCGTTCAGCGGTAAATTCCGCTTCACTCTTGAAGCAGATGACAACCGTGTTCGTGTCTGAAGAGGACGGGGCCAGCAGTCCTGAACACTCAATAGGTGATTGTGAGCCGTGAACAGGTACTGCGACATTGATTTTTTAATCATTTTATTATTTGCTTATGAGGTATATACAGATTCACTTTCATTGAAAACAACCACTTCCTTCATATTGCTTCGATTTTTTTGCAAAAGAGTGTATATAATTATAGCAGAAACGTAACCTTTTATTACAGCCTATTATATTAAAAGAAGCACTTCAAAGTCTTTTTATCCTCTTTCAATAACAAGTATTACGATGATAATGTTGCGTAAGTAAATATATGTTGCCCTCACCGACCAGCATTTATTTTTACCACCCCCACTTGAGTCTGTAGTTCAAATCCGCGTTTATTTTCGCTTTTCACGGAGCGAAACCTCTCTAATTTGAAATGAGGTAGAAAAAAATCAATTAGGTGCTCAACTATATGGCGCAGTCGGTGTTACCATGATTATGAGATAATCAGGGCGGGAGAAAATGCCGCTGAACTGTGTATTTTAAAGCATCAGACTATAATACAAACTGATCTGCATTAATTAAGCAACAATCACAAAACTTCTGACAGGTCATTTAAAATAAATGTGATCTTCATTACATTTGGAGAAGTAGCTAGTAAAATAATATATCTCATAAGTGTATAGTAGAATCTCAGTTATGCTAACGCATAAACAGATTTTTAAAAATGACTCATTATTTCATGTTCTAAATATAATTAAAGAATATCGAAATAACCATTTCGCGATCGTAAAGATAAGTTAGTGTACAGAAATACAAGGGACATCTGAATTTTAATTTCGGTCACACGGGCATTAGTGCTTTATGCCAACAATCTAGAATCATCGTAACTATAGAAAACGGGAAAATGTACAGAAAGTTACATTTGCCTTTTCACAAAATATAATTGTTAAATGACATTTTTGTGATTAAATTATTTACAATCGACGGTAGCGAAAACAAGGGCCGTGTACAGTCTTCTATGAAAATGCTCTGTATTATTTAGCCCTCAGATTAATTTACGTACTTAGGGATGACAGTCAGTGCTTTATATTTGTATTTTACAACATTTTACACTGTTTTTTAGGCTGATTTCAAAGAAAGGCTTTATGTATAAAGAGTTATATGCATAATTAAACAAATGAATAGCGACGGAATGCCACCGCTGGCTGGAAGGATAAAAACAGAACCATTCATGTGTCACGGTGACATAACATGAGATTTCTTGCTCTTCACTAGAACGGAATCAATCTAAGCCAACATTCCTAGTTACAGAGGTTAAAGTAAACAAGTACGGATGTTAAGACCAGTAAAAGACTAATATATGCGTTTAATTTCAAGAAAGATCAAGCACACCTATTCAGACAGAAATATAATTAGACTGAACAGTTTCTCATTTAGTATCTTATAATTTTTATGGGCGTATAAAGAATTCATAAGTTTTTGCATTAAACAGCCAATCAGTTTGTATACCCTGTTCTCACCCCACACGAGAAAGCAGTTGTGTTATATACAGCCTTCTAAAACGGAATGAAAAACATATGCTATTTCATGCTGTTCTCATCTACGTCTAGATTGCAGATACAAAATATTACCAAGCAATTTTCTGGAAAGAGTCAAAGTACTTGCTGTCAATTTTGGAAAGAGCCAAAATACTTGCTGTCAAGATAGCACGTTTAAAACGAACCGTTGTGACCTAAGTTATATACGCATTTAGGATAGTATGCTTTTAGGTAGTTGTAGGGTTACTGAAAGGTATAGCGGCGCGGATCTCAGTGTGCTGAAAATGGAAAACCTCAGAACTCAAAAAGATATTTATTAAAAATGTCTTAGTGTACAGATGATATTCAGTTCTATTATAAATCTCTTTTTGCAGGTCTAACAGCAGAATGACATGTGACAAGAGAAAACTATCTCGCATATAACTGAAAGTACGTTTTGAAGGTACTGTACCACTCAATTAGTGAAACCGTACCTTCAAAAAGAGACAATCGTGGGCTTAGTTTATTTCGCGGATCTAAGCCGGATTCAGTGCGTGCGTTATATTCTTGGAAAACTCATTTACTGTCCTCGAACTATCGACGAAAATCAACAAAGAGCTTGTATCTTCGTTAAAAAGAATAATGATCATTTCCTATTCAGCTTACAACCATCACCATAAACAGATTGTAACGTAACTGTGCCTATGAATAGCCGAGTAAATAAGATCACTAAACAGCGGTAACTTATACTTCGATCCAGGTTGGAATTCTCGCCACATATTTGGCTGCATGGAATTTTGTGTTTTTCCCATATGTAATGGTACTTGTAAGCGAGGTTTTTCCGTAAAGTCTTTCGCAAAGCACTTGTTCTCTGAAGTATATCCACTTAAAGGAAAGAATGCTCTGCTAAAGACTTTACAGAAAAACCTCACGTGCATTGCTATGGTCTCGTGAGTTTTTACGGGTTAATTAAATAAACATACACTAAATATAGCTACTGATCCATAATGCAAGATATCATCGCACTTCACATTGAGTGGCAAAGAGCGCTAATTTACACCTGTCATCGGCAACAGCCTAGAGCACCTTACAGGTGTCAGTCCGATTTAGATCAGTTCCGCGCCCAAGTTTGATGTAGAGCACACCGGAGGGGGGGTTTGGACGCGTCCGAAGGTCTTTCACCCCTCTGCCCTTCCACCAAGCCACACGAGAGGACTTTTCTGCTCGCTGCATATTTTTAGAGTGCCGCCATGCTGCACCGACACTATACATTTACAAACATCCATGCCTTCCTCGAAATCCATGCCTTCCCCACTATGCCGGTTGGGTGGCATGCCCATGTTGTTACACTGAACATTGATAAAGAGGATGATAAGACATGTCTAAGACTTCATCAGTCAGACAGAACTGACGGCACTAGTTGGTGCCGAATCATATCATCATCATCCATAACAACGCACGATATCAATGCGAGAGCTTTCTTTGCGATGGGAGGTACTGGGACATCGGGCATATTAACTATGTTTGAGTCAATGTGACTATGACCTCTTCATCAATATGTAAGAAACTACTGTGAACGACCAATTATAACAGTATAGAGGACGTTAGTAGACATGGAAAGCGGTTATATCTAGAGATTTGTAAATATCTGTACCTATGGTAATAAAGTCATTTTTAAATTATCAGCATACTGGCACTACTTTGTATCCAAAATTTTCAATTCTTTCCCATGAATTTGTTAATTAGTTAATATTTATTACAAAATAATAATGGCCAAAATTAAAGAGTTATAGGAGCAAATATACAGGGTTTGCAAAATGTCTTTCGTGATTCAAAAAAATTTATTGAGAAAAAAGTACTTTAATCAGATACACACTGTGTCCACAGAAGTACTTATCCAGCCTTTATTTTCGCAACTGTTGGTCACAAAGCTATACTCCTACTTACAAAAATGTTTAAAATATAGCAAAAATTCATGTTTTGACGTTTTTAAATTTTAAGAAATTAATTTTGTAAAAATTACGAAACTTAACTTTTACACCTTCTCCGGTCCCTATACTTATATTTAAGAAAATGTACGCTTTAGAAAAGATTATAGAAAATGTTGGACTACTTACAAAAATAGCAGGTCAAATCGTTATTCCAATTCTGGCCTTGTGTTCTTCAACTGTAGCGCCTGTTTCACGAGCTGGTGTGACAAAAATTAATAATATATCCTTTATATTATTAATTTTTGTCACACCATATATATAATATAATATATATCCTTAATATATTACATTATATATATGGTGTGACAAAAATTAATTTATATAATATATATCCTTAATATATCCTTTTTTAGATTCACAACAGGAGCAACAGTCTTATCACTTTCAGTTGTCATGCCACTTCTTAATGTGCCATAAAAGCTACCACTTTCTTTAAATCTTTTCATACCAGTTCTCTATATCCTAAAATCTGGAGGAGAGCGTATGACACCACAACTTCACTTATTCGTTTTTCTTTCATCGAAGCCATTTCGTTTCTAAATATTCCTTAGCGTCATCTATCATAACTATATAACTAAACAATAACTGTAAGACTGCGTAATGACAAAAATTTCATGTTTCAATCTTCCATGGTTATTTCATGTAAAATAACATTTGTAATCAAGAAAAGACTTTTTGCTTTGCATTTTTATTAGCCTTAAGGAAAATTTTATATTTGCCTCAAATACTTTGTACATGTACTTATTATAAGGATGTCACATTATGATAGCAACATACGATATGAAATTTATAATTATTCAAAATAATGCAATAAATTTTATTTTCCTTTGAAAAGTGCTTATTTTTGATGCTATTTCAGGAAAATCGTTGGCGCCCAGATGCAAGTCATAACATACAAGGAATATCTTCCGATTACCCTTGGTGCAGATCGCATGACATTTTTTCGTCTTTGGATCAGCAGTGACGGATCAACGTTGTACGATTCGACCATAGATCCTAGTGCTCTCATAGAATTTACGACGGCAGCATTCCGATTTGGACACAGTTTAATCAATAGTGTGGTTACTCAATCCCCACCAGCTGCTAATGGCGGGGACAGACTACTGAGAAACGAATTTTTTGAACCTTTTGGATTGTACGACGGTCTGATTTCTCCTCTACTGCGAGGCGTATCACGAAGTCCTGCCCAGTGGTATGACAGACACTTGGTCCCAGATGTCACGAATTATCTATATAGGTACAATTTTTAACGTTTCTCAGAATTTTTTATTTTTGATCTTGCAATATTCAACTGCTTGTAATATAAATACATGGATAATATATGAACTTTTCTAATTCATAATCGTTTCTTAAAGCAGCTTAACTATTTTAATGTATTAGAGTTTATAATATAGAAATATCTTAGTTAGAGAGGCATTATCAATCGGTACAGGTCAGTTCGACGCCAACGTTTCGACGCGTGGTCAATTCAACACTAGGTCGTTCCGACGCGGGGTCTTTTTTTTTGCCATACTTTTTTTGCTTTTGTTTGACGCCATACTTTTCGTATTTTTATTTATTTTTAGAATAAGTTTGCATCAGCATTCAAATAAAATTGGTGTCATCATCATTTGTGTTTCACACCCCAGATTATGGGAATTCATAGATGGTCTCAGGCGTGTTCAAAATCACTTGATCAATGTATGAACAATTTGTACGTGGAGATGAACCGCCGCACAAGCGGAATTGTATCTGCGAGCTGATATGAGAATTAAAGTAATAATTGAAGATTTTGAAAATCGAGAAAAATGAATACCTGAAAGGTGTGGCGCATAATTTTGCAATGGTTTCGTATAAACAGTTCTGATGTAATCTTATTTATCTCTAATCTTATTTATGTGTAATCTTATTTATCTGTAATTATATTTTTCTGCAATATAATATAACTACTTTGTAACCAAATGTTTATTTACCATTTGTGTATTTTGCCTTTTTGATGCTGTTTTGTGAAATAAATAAATAAAAAAACTTTCCCTCGTGTCCCGGGGCCTTGACGTTGGCGGGGGGGGGCTTCTCACTAATCTGGGACACAAACAAAAATCTAGAACACTTTCACACATATACACACATATATTTATTTCAAATATGCATGCAAACAATCGCTAATTTAATAAATAAAAATCAGTCACATTACTTATTTATATTACTTCATATTTATTCTAAAAATAAATAAAAATATGGCGTCGAACTGCTCCTGCGTCGAAACGTACGGCGTCGAACTGCCCCGGCGTCGAAACGTTGGCGTCGAACCGATGGCGTCGAAACAACCTGCTTCGATTGTTAATATCATTAAAATCTGTATTTGCGCTTACTTCTGAAACCCTAGACATTACTCAGGTGATATCTTTTATTTTGTTAAATTAATTATGTTTTATAAGTATTTTAATTAACTAATGATTTGCTTGTGGTCTAAAAATTCTTACTGGGTGAAAAACGGCTGTTTCTTAAACATTTACCGCAAATTCTTCCATTTGATACCTTAATTTTAATTTTTTTTATGTACGTCATATTCTCCTAAAGTTAAAAACTTTTCTATTAAATCAAATTTATCGGATATGAGAAATTATGGTTATAAAATTCTTATTAAGTCTATATTTATGAGTATTTTATGCCTAAGTAAATGTTTAGAAAGTTTTTAAGATGAAAACTAGATGCAAGAGAACGTGGTTTTATATATCTAGAGAGGCGTTTTGGATATTTTATTGTAATAATTATTTATCCTTTTAGAATATACTATTTTGGATACAATTCAGGATTTTTTTTAGATTTATTGATATCAAGTCGCCAAGCAAATTTTAATATTACAGAAGCCGTCTTACTATTTATTGTTAAGAACATTTTGTTCAACTGGCCATTAAAGTTTGAACAGTAACATTGACAAAAGTCGAAACAAAATTTATTTTGTAGATTCTTTACATTACAAAGAGAAAAATTAAATTTTCAGTTAATTGAACCTAAGTAGTCTTTGACTAGTGCTGACTCTAGTCACCATGAGCAGCAACAACAGCTGCTTTAAAGTGAGACTTAGGATTTTAATTTGCAATACTGCAGATACAGTTCCTTTCCACAGTGCATTTCTTGTAAGTACTGGTGATCTTTTTTCTGCCAATGCGAGTTGCACTGCAGAGGAGATGTGTTCAGTCGGAGATAGAACCCGCAGTCAAGGCAGAATCGTAACTTCATTTGCGTTGAGTTTTTATCTCATGAAAATGTGGGAAAACTACAAGTCCTAACACATGTGTAAAGTAAGCCTGGCTGGTCAGAGTTCAGATATGTGTAACAATGCGAGTGAGATTTTTATCCATTTACCTTCCATACCTAATTTCCGGTGCTGGGCAGATGTGACGATGCTTAAGGTATGATTTCAACAAGCGCTTTTCACTACGGCTTTTGCACATGCACATGCCCATCGTGATCCAGCATATAAAAGCTGATTTCATCTGAAAAAAATATGCCATGCTATTCATGAGTTTTTCAATGCACCTTGCAACAGCAGACGCCAATGTTTTACTATTAAATATGGCAAAGCGATGGCCTCTATTCAAACATTCTCTGACCATTAAGACAACATTTTACCATAGGCATTGACACTAACAATACCACACACCGTATTTCTTGTGCTACGGTGCATGATGTGAGTATACGATCTATAGGACCCATTTGAACATGATGTCTGTCCTCTCAAACTTCGTTCATCCTTCCTGAATCTATGTCACATTCTCCTAAAGTTCTATATTCGCATGCAATTAGTCGAAGTTTGACCTTCGAGAGCAGTAGTTTAGAGGTACGATCATTCGCAGATAGCATCAACTATAATTAGGCTAAGATCAAATACATACATTTTTTTGCTCTTCTGTACTATCCATCTTGTTACTCGAGATATAATCTCTACTTCAAGTCAAACAAGCAACGAGGTAATATGATTTTTCTGGAATCCAATTCCCAATTCTCTTCTCTTTTACGCTGATTCTATGCAGCAAAACAGGAACTTATTATTTTCATATTTTCTACCTGGTTAACCATTTCCAAGGCCTCGCATGCTCTGTCTATTATGCAAATTTCTCATCAATCGGTTGCTTTCTTCATGTTATTGCGACTTCAGCGGCTAGTAATATGTTATGATATAGAACGAAATCTCTAAGAATATCTCTCGCCATTGCACATCATTTTAGTCTTATGTGAGAGTGTTCGTCGTTGAGAGCATGCCTATCATTTATGATAATTATCGATTTTCTTAATCGCTTTATCCTTTTCGAATTTATTATCTGTAAAGGAAAAATATATCTAAATGTCTAAATGTGGTATATTAATACCATTATATGAACAAAATTCCAAATTAATGAGATAAATAATTTTTAGTGTATCAAAAAACGAGAAATTAGAAATACATTTTTTTGAAGTTTATTTCCTGAAATTTTGTGAGAATATACTTTAAAATGCAAAATTATGCAATTTACGAAAAGCAAAATGACTAAGAAAAGTTCGCAACAAAAAGTTAGGTAATTATTTCAAAATCAGTTACTATTTTCTGAAATATATATGAAATAAAATCTGCCACCTTAATATTTTACATTAGTTAATAATTTCCTTTTTTAAGATAAGTTTTACAAAATAAATCTATCATCTTCCCTCCTAAATTATGGTCTAATGATTTGAAATTTTTATATAGTTCTGAGCTTCATTTAAGGCAACAGTCGAAAAATTTTCACTTTCATCCTCTAAAAGATTTTCATTCACTTCTTTAGGATTCAAGGATCTGACAGGTATTTCTAGAATTTATTTCTCCCAGTTTCCAAATTGAAGATCTGCATGGTATATCTCGAGTCAATGTAAACACTTACTTGTTGACCTAGATCTCATTTTCTTTACTGTTTAGGCTAAACTTACTTCATGTATGCTTTGTATCTCCAGGTAACGCGCATTTAATACTGCTTTAATTGTTTTTCATTGCTCAGTTTTATTCCTGCTGTTCTATATTCGGCAGGGTCTTCCAAAGAAATTTTTTACTGAATCGATTGTCCTTATGCGATAATGATATTGGAATTCGAATGCTTTGATGTTTCTGAAATCCAAATGTGGCAATTTATTAATTTTAGTAGCAGGTTAAAATAATAAATAAATGTTGGTTAATTCTACCAGCATCCTAATTTAAGAATGCCGCCAAATTAACAGCACTTTTATTTTTGTCTCACACTGATTTTGTAATTTTCTTGTTCGAATTTTCACGTCAGTGATCAAAAATACTTTACGAAAATACTTATCAAAAATACTTTTATTCTACTTTCAGATTAACTGTCTTGGCATTTCTTAAATGTCTTGGTCATGAGGTATTGTTTATGATTAATTTTGATTAGATATTATTTACGATTATTTCTGGTAAGGTATTATTTACGATTAGTTATGTACGTTATTATTTGTGATAGATAGCCATCTAAGGGTATCGCATAATGGTTATTATTTTTTAGCTAAATCGTCCAGACGAAGCATCATCATTAGTCTTTGTTTGACTGTCTTTAGTACATGTTAAAATCTTTGAATGCCAGCCACGTATTGCATATACCGATAAAAAAGCATTAACAGTTATCCTTCAAATTATAAGGTATACTTCAAATTATAAGGTATACTTCAAATTATAATCTGCTTTTAATTTAGCAATTATTGCAACTAATTTATCATACCATTTTCACACACAGTTTCACTTTCGCAGCTCAAATATTTTATAACAATAAATTTGGCGATAATTTGTTTTCAAACTAAAGCTACTTGTATTGAATTCCGCTACAGCTTTTGTAAAAGTCGCTCGATCACTCTCATATAAAGGAAAGTTAAATCTTTTGTTTTCGCATGATTTTTAAATGCATGTTAAAGTTTTCAGAATACTTAATTTTTCTTATTTCTCTCTTAAAACTTTTAAGATCTGTCTTTTAATTTACATGTAGTACATTATTACCTCCAACTCTCATTATGTCCGATTGCCAAGAACATCTTAAAAATGTTATAGTGTGGTCTATATTTAATATTTTTACATGTAATCTTTTTTGTAAATTAACCAGTTATCCTATGATTTTGTCTTTATTTCTATTTTCGTCGGCTCCCACCAGGATGCAAATAATTTTGTGTATTTAAACTCAGAGTTCTTGAGTTTAGCAGCTATTCCTGACCCTCACTGTATTACTTCTCGCTGCAAATAGGCTCTTTCTTCGCTAGCCGAAATTACTTCGTGACATACTGAGGGCTTGAGCCAAAGATTCGTTTGACCTTGTATTTAAAATTTTCATTTTATTTGAAAATTTTTCTGAACTTCTTGCAAGCTGTGATAATTTTATTTCTGTTATCACTAAGATTATGCTATCATTAGGCTTATAAACAAATAAAGAGTTTATATTTTAAACCTTTTTATATTTGTGTTATTTTATTTAGAAGTTACATCTCCTGACTGCTTTTACAGTTCCGGAAGTACACTTTTAGAATGGAACCATACGTACGTTTAGTTCTGCAAAATTCTTACACTGAGATTATTAACACAACTTAATCTAAAGTAAATACTTAAAAATGTACGAAATTAAAAATAAAAATCACACTTATAAATGCAATGATTCGTCACCTTAGAAATAAGTGCGAGTTGATTAAGATAAAATCAAAATCAGTCTTGTAGCCATTCGGACAGTTATTTATTGCATGTTCCCAACAGTTAGACAAGAAATGAGAAATACGTATAAATAGCATAAATAATGATATGATGAGAATTATAAAGAACTGTATAAGTATTAAAACTTATGCGCTGTAGTAAATTTATAAGAAAAATTAAATTTTGAAAAAAAAATAAGCTGAAATTTAATGATTCACAAATGAGTAATTAATATTTCCAAAACATAACGTTTCGCTGCCAGAAGAAGAACCATAAATGTAGCTTTTCGAAGAAGTCATGTGTTCACAAATAGTTTAGTTGCATTATTATGTTGACTACATTTACAAGAAATTATCAAGTGCTGTCATTTCAGATGTGGGACATTTAATAATTAAAAATAATAATGAAAATAACAATTTTGAATAACTTAAGCAGAGAGAAAAGGGAAGAAAGGAGTTTAAAAAACCGATGAATGAGTTACTTCATTCTCCCACTAGGTGCCCCTATCTATGTTTCGGGAATGCCAAATGTAATTGGATTAATGACGTATTTATCAATACTCATTACCATGCCTAAATACAAAAGATAAATGCAGATCCTATATAAATTCGAAAACAAGTGTGGAAAAGAAAACCGCAAATTACTTAACGAAAGGCATTTTTAATGCATCTAATTTTACGTATTTTATAAGTTGGTTCCTGAAAATGAAAATATTTAGAAATTAAAAATTTAAACGAGGAAATATTTGGGCGCACACTGTAATCGGGAGGTAATCGTACAAAGTGTGGCATGACCACTCAGTAAAGAAATAAGTCTGGCCACTTAATAAACACTGGACCACACCGAGTCAACAGAAAATTCGTTTTATAGGCATTGTTTCGTAATTAAAATACCGCCTTTCACATTATTAGGCGAACTGGTCGCTTTTAGAAGTAAATGTCTGCGACAGGTGATTGTTATAAGAAATTTTATTGTTTGATTTATTTATATGGCTGAGAATAACATACTCTAAGAAGGATTATAGTCAAACATTGTACTATCAATTTCTTTTTCTAATTTTAGGATTAGAGGAGACCCAACAGGTTTGGATTTGGCATCAATTAATATCCAGAGAGGTAGAGACCATGGTCTACCTCCTTACACTGCTATGGTTTACCTGTGCTCAGATAAACACTACAGTGTGGGCGGTTTTGATGACTTGTACAGATACAAGTTGATGTCCTACGACAACGCTCAGCGACTGAGAAGAAATTATGGGTAACGATATAAATCAAAATACTGCATGCCTCTTTTGCTTTATTTTTTATCACTCGTCATAAATACCTATTCATTCATTAATGAACTACTCGATATGCATACAGACTTACCTCCCTGAACCCCACACCACCCGCAGACGGTAAATAAATCGAATTCGGAAACTGAAGCGTGTTCCTTGTTGTCATTTAAAATCGAAATCTGTTGGCACAACTTTTTAAGTCCTAATATTTAGATGCAGTTATTTGTAATGAGCTAAATTGTAAGCTTAATTAACACAGGATTTATGCATACTTTTTAAGTAGTTTACGAAGTTTAGTTTTTTAAGAATATTAATCTCATTTTCTTTTCGATTGATAACAATATAATAATTAAAGCTTCGCAGAATAAGTTTCAGGTGAATGCGAAGTGAGTGGAACTTATTTTCTAAAGCAATCCGTCAACAACAGTGGAGTTGAGCTTTAGCTACAGATTAGTAGTAGTAGTAGTAACGGAGGACGTGGGCACCATCCCTCCACCGTTAAGGTTACCGGTAATAGCACCACGTCCGCCCTTATCTAGAGTTGACCATTTGGAGCCACGTGGGGGTCTCGTACAGAGCGCCAAGGCCCTCCCGTTTGCAGTGCTGCTGACCAATCCGCCAGCAAGGGTGCACACCCAGCTAGCTGCCCAGGCCCAGTACTTATTGATTCTAATCAAACAATACATGGCCATACAAGGGCTTATCGCTGAGCTACAGATTAATGTGTTACGACTACCATGAGCCAGAGGTAAAAATAGGAAAATTTGAGAAAAAATTAAAATTATAATATTTCAAAGTTCCACCACCGGCCGAGCGGTAAAAGTCGTTGAACACTAGTAGTTCGGTCTGGGGTTATGGTATCGCTAATAATCCGACGAATGGACTGGCTGCATGGTTGTTTTCGTGGTTTTTCTCATGCTTAACGCGGATAAAATTCCCTCCGTTTCTGTGTAGTGCTAAGGGCGGAGCACATAAGAAGTAGAAAAATAAGAAACTTCAAAAACGATATCATAAAAGGAAAGAATTTAAATTATACTTTAAAAAAGGATACGATAAACTAAAGTATAAAAATACTTCTTCTAGAACTGAAATTAATTTCTTATTTTATGTTCTGTTTTTAGATTATAGATATCTGTCAGAAATATGAATATGAAAAATAAATTGCAATTTACCCGTTTTATCCAATTCACAATTTACTTGCTGTATTATAAGAATATTATATTATTGCTTACATATATATATTACTGCCATAAAATGTATTTTATGTGCCCTTTATAATAATTATTTTGCAGGAATTAAGAAAATTAAATTTGATTGAGTATAAGTTTATGAGCATTTTAAAGCGTTAATTCAATCCATATATAATAAATAAGAGATTTTACGAATATTTCTTTGTTAAATCGTCCATTGTCCTTAAACGCCAAAATTAACAAACATCTCCTAATTGTAAAATGCAAATTTCAAATGTCATCGAATGGTTAAAAGTGACCATTTAAATTATAGTTAAGAGCGGGTCTAGTGAAGAATGACACATTGTAGTGAAAATGTATAGTATGCGATGCTTCTTATCGTAAGCTGTTCAGATTAATCAGTATAAAAATGATTACAAACGAGTTTATAATTGAAGAATAATATCAGTTAGTTCTCATTATATGCGAATGCAATCTAATCTCAGGTATTTTTATATAAGGACTATATAATGTGAGATAAGAAACTTCACGTTAAAGAAGCTTTGGCATGAGGACGCTGGTATTTTTATGACTGTCTACGTTTTCTGTATTAGACGCTAGTATTTTTATAACGGTCTAAGTTTCTGTAAAGTATTTTTATGACGGTTTTACACCAGCAACATTCATTATGCGAGTAGTAGTGGCTTCAATGACTACTTTAAAGTAAAATTATGCATGGATATTATTATTCATTACCTCATGAATGTAATATATAGTAAAATAATGTTTTGCTTTACTTTTTATAGGCAAAACAGAAAGTTTCTATTACAAAAACAGCTTAACGTAACCACAGTTCTTGATGAATGGTATCGCTAATAGCATCAAGAACTAACGCGTGCTCAGTATAAGAGAGTGTTTGAAACAGTTCCGATTTATAAACAAAATTTTTATAAAATGCATTATATAAAAATCGCTGCATTTCTTTTTTTTTTTTTTTTTTTTTGAATAAGAGGTATTGCAAAAACAAACTACTTCTCTCCGAAAATTTTCGCAGATACCTATAGTCATGTTGCTCGTTTCGAAAAATTTAGACCAGGGATTTCCAAACTTTTCTTGCATTAACCCCTTTTAAAACAGTAACTTTCTCCATCACTCTCCATTACATTTTTCACTATAACATACATTATACAACACACTCATAATAAAAGTATTAATTGCACATAAATAAGTTAAAGATAATAATTAGATTAAGATTATGAACAAAAATTTTGAAAATGGTTATTAGATTTATGTGCAATTAGTTTTTTAATAATTTTAATTTACAAATATAAACAAGTTTTCATAAAAAATATTACTTCTAATTGCATAAAAAAATTCAATTTTAATGAATGGCATCGCTGCGCGTCTTAGGTATAGTGATGACCTTTTTGTTTAAGATTTCGCATAAAATTGCTTAACTTAATCTTTAAATCACCTCCTTCAAAAATATTCAATCAGTTTCTTGTTTTCCATTCTAGTTTTGCATTCTTCACGTATTTTTTAAATTGCGTTTTCTTGAATTTACATTTTACATCGCACTTATAGCATAAAAATTATATAATATAAAAGTATTAACTGCATTGAATATAAAATATAATTATTAATTTTAATGTATTTTTCTTATATTATTTTATCTGAATTTCTTCCTTCGTAAAGAATTCTTTATAACAGTAAACAACTAGTTATCAATTTTATTAATAATATTTTTTGTAATTAACGGGTCTTGACTTTGTCTAACAATTACTAACGGTTAATTAATATTCGGTTATTCACCCGTTGATTATCTCTGATCTAACATTTCATCCACCTTCAGAGGTCAATACCAACTCCGGTAGGAATCCCTGATTTAGAAGCTTGAATTATTTACACGTTAATTATATTTAGAATTGTTTGAACTTACAAGCATGTGGATGATGTCGATTTGTGAACTCGACTGTTAAGTGAAATACCCAAAGAGGGAGCAGTTATTGGTTATATTTATTATTGTTTGGACTTACAAGCATGTGGACTGTAACTTGAACTTACAGGCACGTTAATAATTTAATTGTTTGAACTTACAGGCATGTGGATGATATCGATTTGTGGACTGGGATATTAAGTGAAATACCCAAAGAGGGAGCCGTTGTTGGTCCAACTGCAGCTTGCATTATTGGTCTGCAGTTCAATAAACTGAAATATGGAGACCGATTTTATTTCGAACACCGCAACGAGCGATCTTCCTTTACTTACCGTAAGTGTAATTTTTATATACACGTTCCTGCATTTTTATCTTCACTCTATATTATAATAATTAACAATATGTTTTATATGTATGTGTAACTCTAGAATATTAATATATTTTATATAATTGAAAATCCATGATGGATCAATCGAACATAATCCTTTGTTGAATCAATAGACATTTTTGTCTAAGTAATGGTTGGAATTTTCAAGCTTCAAGTAAGGAAACAGGGTCATATGAACAAGTTACCTTTATTGGCAAATCAAGAAAACTTATTGAAAGATTCTTCGTAAAATAAATTAAGTCTACGATTTTTAGAATTATATGCTATTCAGTGCTATGTTTCTACTAAACTTCGAAGAACTTGTGAAATATAGGCAGTTATATTAAACAGAAATAATTACAGGTAAATAAACGTTAATTATCAAAACAACATCCACAACATAGATGTAAATTATTCATTTTTCGGTACTCTGTCTCTTTTTATGTTTCTTTAACTAGCTGTTCTTTTAAAATGTTTAAAACTTCCCCCGACAAATTCTTAACCATGGCCAAATGATACCCCAAATGTGTAATTACATATCTCACTATCAGCGACAGTCTGCTAATCTTTCACTCTAAAATGAGATTTATGTAATTAAACTTCTGAAACTACCTTTAATGTAATATAATATACATATTTAAGACTACCCAAACTACAGTTTTTAAAAATGGTTTCTTTCTTAATTTTCGTAATTTTCGGAAAAATTTTATTTTAAAATAATGAATTCACTAAAAAGGCTGAAAATAGCAGAACACTTGTGATTTCATCGTAATATTTTTAATTCTTTCTTTTATAGTTAATTCTTTCCAAATTGCCATAATTTTGCAACTTCATTGCATTAAAGACAATTGATATAATGATAAAATTTTTAAAGTACTTAGATTTTCCAATTTTTTATAAAATGCTGCTAACATGTTAACAAATCTGTTTTTATGCATTTCATATCAGAGCATAACAAGAACGACTATTGCAAGTGCATTTGGAATAATCTACATACATATGCAAAATTGGTATTTTTTAAGTGCAATCCCATTTCTTTAAACTAAGGAAATACAGTCGAATATACAGTCGAACCCGCTATAACACATTCAGTTTATTACGAAGCCCCGTTATAACAAAAAACGTTATTGGTCCCGCCCAATTTCCTATATACTCAATGTTATTTTATACGACTATATAGAATCTCCAAATTTATAAACTCGGATATCACAAACTTTGTAGATATCATTCACTGTTTTATTTTCACACATTCATTTAGGATTTCTGCAGTTTTCATCCTGAATTACTAAACCTTGAATTCACCCATGTTAAAGCTATTGGGATAACAATAAAAAGCTTTGCATTACTATTCTTCAATCTTCACCTTTCTGTGTGTTCTAACTACGGCTAAAGAAAGAGATAATCAAAAGCAGGTATTTTATGCATTTCTTGGAAAATCAGGACATATAATACACATACATCAGAAGATCCAACTGTACCACGCGCAAAGCAAATTAAGAACCATTTTTCAACTGAGTCAAAATCTGTTTTTGATTCCACTCAAGTTCTTTCATTGAGCCTTTAGGCAGGGCTCTATTTAAGATTGATGCTATGATGGAAATTTTAGAATATTTGCTATTCAGAGTAAACGAAGGTAGTGAATAGATTCTTATGGGCTTGAGATTAAACAGGTGATTCGCCTTTTATGAAAGAGGAATTTTTGTACTTATTTGTTTTTCTTGTATCATATAACATTATTAAAGAATGGTGTTCAGAAACCATTTACCCATATTTTCCATGGATTCTACAATTTCCAAAACAATTCTTAACTTGCCCAAAGATGTAGTAGCCTTCCTACAACTTTCAACTAGGTTGAAGAATTTTGTGGGACATCTACGCCATTGGGCGCCTTAAAATAATTCAAGTGCATCCTGATGGGCGTCATCTTGGCTCACAGAAGTTGTCCATTTCGATTGTTTTTCAGGGTTATTTATCACGCTCGAGGTTTGGTATTTGCAGACTTGATACAAATTGCTCTCGGGTTTGGGAGTTCAAGGCATGTCTTAGAGAATGAGATATTTTGACCACGGCACCTGATGCATGAGGGTATTTCGTCTTTTTGGAGAGGGTACTGACAAGATAAATTATTCTGTGTGTACTTCTGACATCGAGAGCTGCTAATGGCTATGGACAAATCTCTGCACAAGTTCCCCCGAGGCCCAAAAATGGACAATTCTGACTCTGGTGGGGCGTCAGAATTTCAGATCAAATTATTTCCCCATCAATCCTTGACATTTGTATAAAATACACAATTCATTTAAAAATCCTCTCATTCTCTTTGAGCACAAACTGCTTAACGTTTCCACAAAACTTTCCTTCCGAATAATTCCTTCCTGAATTTCATGCTCCGTAAATCGAGTAGAGACCTTTCGTAACTATTTTGAAAACGTTTCCTTTTAAAAATCAATTTTGATACTGTCCGATCGAACAATATCTTCGCAGTCCTTCATTTCAAGTAGCAAGGAAAGTCCTTTCCCATGCTTCCTCGCCAATTCGAGTTTTGGCCAAAATACTGGCGACAGTTGTACTCTAACATTTTTTCTGCTGAAAATAGAAAATAGTCGAATGTGCATCATTAAGTTTTCCATCACTCGGAGTTTAGAGTAATTACGTTGTTTTGAAGCAAGAGGAGTGAAAAATCTCATCAAGACTTGAACCCTGGACCTCTCGAATACGCGTCGAGTATGCTTCCAATTACACTAGGAGGCCATGTGAAGTTGTGGGAGAAACTACCTCATGTACTCCCCTCTTTTAAAGGGTGACTAGGGATGAGGGGTCCCAATCGTAAAATTCTTGTGGTAACGATTGTCGTCCACCACCGTTTAGTTCGGGCGCCACTCGTAGAGTCATTAGATTATTTTGAAGCAGGAGATGCGAAACTATGCAGTGCCCTCTCCAGGGCTTTATTCCTTAACCTCTCGAATACGCGCCGAATATGTTTCCAATTACACCCCGAAACATGCGAAAAGGAGGGAGAAAATACCTTATGAGATAACTGAATCTGTTGCTCTGATGAACTTCAGATGATATAGGACATGTATCATGGCTTTAACAGTTTTCAAAGGGGTAATCTAGGTTTCGTTTAACTAACTTCGGCAATTATTAAGAAAAGTTTCCATCTTGAGGGAGCATAGGATCAAAATCAGGTGTATCATATGGGGATTTCAATACAACTGAATTTCTTCAGGCGCAACTTCAATGATTCAAAAGCCGCACATATTGCTGTCTACCATAATTGATCCAAATCTCCTTGCAGTGATAATATCTTGGACAGCCGCGGTCAGAAATTCAGTTATAGGAGCCCAATCAGTCTCTGACTTCGGAGCTTAAGGTTTCTTACTTTTCGTTTCTTGACAGCCATATTTGAACCAATATTTTTACAAAGTTCTCAGCGTTGAATTTCTTTCCAGGAGAAACATCCTATTTAATTTTCATGGCCATATCCGAGTAATCAGTGCTATTCAAGTCCATTGACTCTCGAAAGAGAGCCATGATCACAAATGTGATCCCAATCTGAGGATTTTCCATGCGCGTCTAACTGGTGAGGTCTTATTTGTTTACAATTGTTGAATTTCAGAACGAAATACGTTCTTTCCCGAAACAGAATTTTGCGGCGTGTCACTATAAATGTTAGTTCACTTTAGAAGGCTGATTCACTTTTCAAATTGTTCCCATCAGATGTTGTCGCCCTGTATTATTTTTAAAGAAATTATGTAATGAAGTATTTGCATGTATGTTTCTCGCATCATGGAAAAATAATAGCCATAAGATTTAAAACAATGTAGTCCTTCACTCGAACATGTGCATTTGGAAACCCGAATTTTGAATTTCGAATTTTTTAATTTAATTTAATTTTTTATATATTTTATAAAATCATAATAAATTTTTGATTCGCAAACTCAACGATTTAAAAATGCAGTGGCAAAACTATTCGAAACAAAAAATTTTTAGCTTTAGTGCCTGAATGTTACCATTCGGAAAAATGCAAGATATTTATCTTCTAATTTTAATTCACAAACTTGGCTCCATTAAAGAAATATGTTACCATAGTCCGGAATAAAATACTTTTACTTTCCCCATACCAACGTTTTGCCAACATTAAAGTCTAAGATAGTTTCAAATGTAATCTGGGAAATACTGAGTAACAAACTAAGGGATTTCAAACAATAAATATAGTTCTTAAAAATACTTTTCTATTTTTGATGTTATTGATTTAAATAAACGTGTATTAAAATCAGATGAAATATCTAAATTAAATGAGATGTCTAATTAGAAATATACAATAGTTTATGAAATTACACTAGTAAATTATGTGAATTTTGAATAACTTAAAATTCACTAATGGAAGATGTTTTTGAATAAACATCTTCCATTGGTGAATTAGATTTTCTAGAGGCGTTTCACCTTCAAAAAATCTTTCTGTTCTAGTTAACGACACTAATTCCAATCCATCTTTGCCTTTAGCCTTTAAGGAAATTATGTGTCAGTCCTGGTTTCATGAATAGATAACGCCAGTTAACTTTTGTCCAGCCATTCTTATCTTATCTAATCATTATATCTTATCTCGTTCATTTGCGCTTTGGTAGCTGAGGAGGATGGTTCGGTAAAAACCATGGAAACTTGTCCTGTGAAAATTTGCAAATATAACTCTGATTTTTGTTGTTTGAATTCTAAATTAATACTTGTTCGGAGCGTTATTTTATCTTAATTAAAGCTCAATTGATTCAACGGAAATAATTTAGCCAAAAAAGACACAGTAATTAGAAAAAATCCAAAAACTTTCCAGTATTATAAATTGGAAAGTAATGTGTCATATTAAATCTAATTTCATATTTTATAACAGGAATTATAAGTTTGAAAAATGAAGAGAGAATGCTTTTCAGTATTACTTTGAAAAAATCAAAGGTTTGTTCTGCAAATAGGCTAAATATTCAAGTTTGTTCTTAAGTACTCCTTTTTTTTTATCAAATTACTTTATTATTCCTATTTTGAATTTCAGAGCAAAGACAAGAGCTGAAGAAAACATCCTTATCGAAGATTATATGTCTTAATACAAAAGTATCACAGATGCCTTTAAATGCTATGTTATTCAACAGCAGAAAGTATGAATGTTATCTTATTTTGATTATAATTACCTGTATACTTTAATTAGTTTTTCAGGGTATCGTGGGTCTGTAAAAGAGTATTTGATACTCTAGGCAAAGAAAATTAAACCAAGCTATTATCTGTATAGAAAAAGGTGACAACTTCTTCAATTCAATGCGATCAGTAAAAACCTAATTAATCATGAGTACTGAACATTAGCAGTCTAAGCAAATTACTTGCATTAAGTAACTGATTTTGTTTGAAACTGAGCCTAGAAAAAGGCTTTCTGTAATAAAACTTCCATAAGAAAACCGCCTATATTTCCAGACAGAATTCATTTTCAGTGAAAGCTGGTAGCCTTTGATATTACGATCATCGCTGATGTTTAATGCCGTTACTTAAGTATTTTTTCGGAAGGATAATAATTTTAAGAAGTGATCATGTTAGGGATGCAATAGCCATTAAAAATTTCAATTAAATATTTTTTCTGTATTTAAAACCGCCCAGACGGTATAGGGGTCAGGGGAGCCAGCTTCGGTACCGAAGGACCCAGTTTCGAATACCAGAGAAGACATGGATGCTTATAAGTGTATAGTGTCTGTGCGACATCGAGGCACTCTAAATATGCGACGAGTCGAAAGCCCTCTCCAAAGGCTGATGGTAGGAATAGAGGGGCGGGAGACCCTCGGACTCGTCCCCTCCCTGAGGTGTTCTCCATCAAAATTTAGGGAGGAACTGTATGTTGCTCAAGGCTCTTGACAACGGCAGGCGATGGATTTCGTGAGCTTGTTCTGATATTACTGCCAGACAAGGGAGATAAGTCACAACAACATTGTATTTAAATAAAATTTATTCAAATTTAAATAAACCTTAAAAACCTTTGGAGAATTCGCCGGGGCAACGGGTCAGAAGGCCTCCCACTCCTCTTTCCCTATCACACAACCTCTCAAGAGGACTTTCAGCTCGCCGTAAATTTGAAGTAGTCCCATGCTGCACAGACACTATACATTTACAAACATACATGCCTTCTCTGGGATTCGAGCCCAGACTATTCGGTACGGCAGTCGACCACCTAACCGTTATCTCGGTTGGGTGGCCGAATAGAGTATATAAAAAGAGTAATCACTGAATCTGCAGATGATTTTCAGTTTGTTTACGAATTTTTGCAACGTGAAGTTTTCCTCATTTGGACGATAGTCGGATTCAAGAATTTAAAATAATTTTACCTATTAACTACTTTACAGTTCGAAAATTATACTTATCCATTTCATTTTTTCATTTGCGTAGTTTATAAATAATATGTCGTAAATTAAGCTATAATTTGGAGGAAATAACGTATCTATCGAAGAAAATAATTGACATTTGAAAAAATACTTCATTTAATAGTAGCCTTTTCTTTTCTTAGAATTTCTATAGAATTTCATCCATCGTCAATCATCATCATTTTATACTTTTCAAAAGAGAGTTTTTATGTTACTAGTAACAAAAGATTTAACTGTCTGGACTAGTTTTCTAACCAGTTATATGATAAAGGAATTATTTACTACACTTTCATTTCTTACTGGACAACTAAACAAAAATCATTCTAATTAACTGCCTAGCACTCGTAAATTCGTAATTTGTTTTTTCAGGTCAAATATGGCATTGTTCTTTGAAGAACGTTTAGTAAAATTTTCAAACAAATTATAGGTACGGTGTCTAACAGGGACCTAACTAAAGGGGGACATATTTTCCTGTGCACAGCTTAAAAGGGGCGCCAAACTTACATTGCGAATTTTTAGAATGAAATATCTTCTATTCTTGGCAAACAAGAGGAGCACGAGATCTTCAGTTGACCCCGGGCGATCTAAACCCTACAGCTCTGGTATCTAACTTTCCATAATGCTTTAGTGTGGATGCATTTATGTAGCGTGTTCAGTGTCATAAATTCCACCTTTATCATATTTTATATATAAAACTGATTATTTAATTCATAAAATATTTTTAAGGTTTCTTTATCTTTTTTGTGATTGAAAATAGTTTAAATCTCATATTATATGCATATTAAATGTAAAACTTTCATTTTATTTCTTTCAGCAATCCTTTCATTGATTGTTCAAGAGTGGCAGGGATCGACCTGTCTTACTGGAAGGAATAGTGTCTGAATTAGACTCTTCAAAGCAATGAAATAGCCTATTTTTATACTGGATTTCAAGCATAAATTATCACCAGAAATTTTTTGCATTGTATGTAATAGATAAATTAAAATACTATTTCCAGTAATAAAATTAATAGATAATGTAATGAGCTTTGAGATTTTCTTTTATTTTCAACAAGTGCCATCTTCTTCTGAACGTAAATAAAACACTATTTGAACTATTACTGTTTAAGACCTTTTTGGAGGTATCTTGGAACGCAAACATTAATTTTTGACGTAGGAAATAGATCAGTAACATACATGAATATCATCACTTATCTTTTTAAAATATAAATTACATAATCAGGACAAATCGTGTCTGTATCAAATTGTAATCAATATTCGAAGACATATATCATCTACATACCCGGTATTAGTATGACATGCACTTGCTTTGAAATACTTCAGCAACATGACCACAACAGAAAAACTGTGGCAGACTCTTAAACGAACACGTACCAAAGGAAAGCAGGGTTGCCACATTTGGCGAGGAATCGCCCATTTGGCGACAAAACTGGCGTATGAACGTATGGAGAACCTTCTGGAACGAATTCTTACCGGTTTAGCCCAGAATGATCTCGAACCCAAGCCGAAAGCTATATAACCCTGCTGGTCCGCAGTTTGAGTGAGTGTGTCTCATCTAGTTAGTCCGTGCGGAGACGATCGAGTTGACAGCCGGCGAGCGAGTGCCAAGTGGTCGGCGAGTGCATCGAAGAGTCTCTTAGTGTATCGTGGTTAGTGCATCGTCGAGAGAGTGTGTTAAGCTCCGGGAACGACTGAACCGAAGAGTCGGGAACTGTGCTCTGCGTGTCGTCGAGTGCATCGCGCGTTGTAGCGTGGAGAGTCTCGAGAGTACGTGGAGTTCCGAGAACGACCAAGCAGAGGCGGGAGCTGTACTCTGGTGCTTTGCAGTTAAGCTGTCTCCACCGTGATAGCTTGATAATCTGAAAGCTGTGTCGCTGATCGTGCCAGCGTGTTTATAACAGTTCGACGACTGTGAACGAGATTTTGGAGATGTACTGATTAATACCGGCCAATAAAGTGTTTTTCCATACTTCATCAAGTGTCGTGGTTAATCACTCCAAATCCACACGAACCCCGTACGAGCGTGAAGGAAGAAAATAACGTAACAACTGGTGTCAGAAAAGAAAAACGCAACAATAGTTTTATGATTATTCCTTTACACGGCAAGTTATGTTTTCGACTAATCTATGTAAAATTATCAGTTGGAGTAATCTAAGCTACTTTATTTTCAAAGCAATAATATTAGCCTGTACAGTCCACTGGTCTAACTGCTGTGTGAGTACTGTGAGAATAGTAACTGCATAGAAGGTGGGTTGAGTACCGTTTATTACACTTTTGAAAATTAACACTGCGTCAAGTCGACGATAGCAAACTACGCCTCTTCTTGGGCGGTAACTGAATTTACAGAACTAAACTAAAAATTCGGAGATGGGCAAAAGTCATAGAACTAAATTACAGGGCTCAGATAATTCCTGTTTCTTAAACCCACGTCGGAAACTGGTGGAAGCAAGTAAATGCATATAAAACACACCAATCGGGCATAACTCTGTGATCAGACGCTTAAGCAACAAAGGTAACGGCAATAGCCTAACTCTCTCTCTATATATCCTACTGAAACTCGATTTTTACATCCTTTCTTCAAGGTGGAAATTGCCTTCCTTCCCGCGCGTCATGAAATTTAAATATTCTGGCATTCACAAATAGGGGAATGAAGGCTTATAGGTACGAATAACAAATTAAATAAAATTGGTTATTTAAAATAAATAGATATTTTTACAAGCTAACAAATAAATAATTGCTAAATTCTACTAAATTTTTGTCTGGATATAGAAATGAACAGAAAGACATGAACATATAAATTCGCATATTATTTGCGCATATGATTACCAAATAATGTTACAAAGTATGTGATAACAAGCCCTTTTGTGAAAGAGGGTAAATTCGCGACCAGTATTTTATCATTTTGGCATATTTAAATGTCGTATATTATGTGCATGTACAACTCACAACATAATAGAAAGTTTTAATATTAAACAGCATCTGTTTTACTATGTGAAATTCATAAACTATTTTATAAACTGTTAATTCTTATATTTAAGTTTGAAAATAAACAAGTATTGTTTTTTTAATACCAACAGATTAAAAAATATTGTTTCGTGAAGAAACTCACTAATTACTAAGTCTACTGAACACTTTAATATAATAATAGTCATAGTAATGAATGTACTATCATCTTGCTAAAAAATGTTAGTACCTAAAAATAAAGAAACAAAAATAAAATATACAGTACAAATTTAGTACCTAAAAGAAATTATATATAAAATGTTTTGTAAGCAAAAAGCATTTCAATCAAATAATAAAGTTTGAAATCTACTGAAAATTCTATTATTCGTTTGTATTAGTAAATTTCATTTATTGAATGTCAAATGACCCGCAATATATTTTTAAAACTCACGTTTTCACGTTGCTCTCGCTGTTAAAAGTTTTAATCATTTAATAATTGACAAGTAATGCATTAATCTGAAAGTGATCTTTGCTTCTTATGATGTTCCATTCCATGAACACAGTGAAATATGGGCACTGTATCTTTTAGCAGGTTCATCATTTCACCTTTCCCCAAAACTTATAAAGAGCTTTTTAATTTAAACTTGTGTCATCAAAATTTTGTTTAAATTAAAATGTGTTAGCTATCAATAGTTATTTGGGGGCTCGAGTCTAAGCGAACGGGCTGTCTGCATCGGCATTTTCGTCGTTCTTCTCATGAGCAACGTAGATGCGGGCCAATTTTCCTTAAAAATCGCCCCAACGGGGCATCCCTAACTTCCCGTGTAGTGTCTAACTGCCGATCTCCTACAGAAATAAAAAAAAAAGTACTGTGGCTTCTGGCGAAAGAATCTCTAGTAAATTAAAAATAATAAAAGTTTAATAATAAAGTAATTAATAATAAAGTTTTTCATTAGGTCAAAAGAAAAAATCAACACTGTCGTTCTCCCTATTGCAACATAAATTCTTTGATCAAATAGCTAGATCAATTTTGAAACGTATATTTTAAATATATACGTAATTATTCATTATTTTATATTAAAAGAAAACAGGCAAGTATGATGGAAATTTGAAAAAATTCAGATTTAAAAGTTTAAAGTAATGGAATCTATTTCATTCACCTGGCTGAGTTTGTAAAGTATAATTATATATAAATATATTACTTCCCTCCCCCAGCCAAGGAACTGAATGCTTGTGTTTTACATTGGGTTCTTAGCATCAAGAGTTGAAAACCTATCTCTGCCCGTTTGTGCTTCAGAGGAGTGTCTGTAATAGTAAAGTTCAAAACCCTTTAGCATATTATCACTTTTGAGCTTGAGAAGAAGATGCATAAATAATATGATAAGAACTGTTGTTAATACTAGCATGTTTCTCTCTGTACTGTCTTGGGGGGAGGGAGGACACTTGCACCAACGCTTCAGATCCAAGGGCACGTGTTCAATGGATCCAATCAACAGCGACCCAGGTGCTTTTCTCTGATATTGCAACCAATTCCGTAACACGTACGATAAATACTGTTTAAAACCAATGGTGTTGACATTTGAAAACTTCACCCTGTAGTCCATATTGAAGGTCCGACCTCTTGTTAAAATCTGACGTGTTTCAACGTTCGTGTTAAATCAATCGTTTCGTGTTAAATCAAACGTGTTTAGTGATAGCAGGAATAAGTCTTGATTCGTGGATGGTGAAATTATTGACGCTAGAAGAAAAGTAAGTGATCTCCTTTTTAAGCCTTTTTGATCTTTAAAATTTTAATTATATAGAATTTCCTAGTAATTTTATTTGAATCAATCTCTTTTGATGTACATATTAACGTAACAAGATTGGATAGAAACTACAAGGCTAAATAATTTGATTAAAAGTTTGTAATCTAATCTGTTATTAAACATGTTATATTCTGGAGCTCGTGGCTGTAAGACGATCTTTTTTTTTTGCACGTGTAGAACTCTTGTTTAAAAGTTCAGTGGCAGAAGAACAAAGTCGAATCTTGTACAACTCTTGACTTAGATCAATCTTCGTAATTCTGCACCGCATATTAATACATTACTAAATTTATACTCTTATTAGATATGTTTATTGCGCAGATAAGCATTGCTTTGCTATAGCATATCATAAAATTGATTTAATTTTAATTAAAAATCTATTAATTAAATTACTAAAAAAGCTTTTTGGAGTATAATATGTTTTGATTTTTTATCGAAAATTTGTTTCTAAACTCGAATCTAATTTATGTTTTGTTTAATTACCGAAAAATCCATTCTTTATACATATCATATGAAACAATTTCAGTCTCATCGATATTTTATATAAATCTATGTATGAGTATTTCACATCTCTAAAAGAAGTTTTTTTTTTTCCAATGGGAAAATTACAAGTGTATATCATATGTACACTGCTCAAAAAAAAAAAAAAAAAAAAAAAAAAAAAAAAAAAAAAAAAATGGGACAGTGCTATATCTCCCGTTCTACTGGGCCGATTGACAAAATTCAAACTGCGTTTTTCATGTCTCGAAAGCGCGACTTAGGATATATATTAGATTTATATATAGCACTATTCTAACATAGGTATTTTGGCACAAAATTGGTCTTTTTCTGAAATAACATATCAATTTTTTTTCCATATTTCGATTCTACGACTCTAATTATGCCAGAATACCAAGTTTTGTAAAAATCGTACGAATAGTTTTTAAAATATTAGCTCTCAAAATTTTAGCTCCTCAATGTTAATTGAATTTGGCAAATAATTATTAATATCTTTTTTTTATTAAACTTTTTTGATTTTTTCTCTCACATTTCGAAATTTAGGTTCAGTCGAAATAAAATTTACCCATTTTTTGTGTTAAAATTTCTTAGAAGCCGACACTTCCCATCTTCCCACCAGACCTCAACCTCTGTGAATTTTAGCTATGGGGTTATCTCAAAAGCACTGTTTATGGTGATAATCTAAACAATTTGGCAGAAATGAAAAATGTGATACACCGACATGTCCGTAACATTCCTCCTGATATGCTAAGAGCTGCTGTTGAGAATGTGGTAACAGGATT